CGAAAATCTTCACCGAGGGCGGAATCCGGATTTGTTCCCGGAGCATCACCACGTCGGCATCTGTCAGAATGCTGGGCTCACCCTCGAAGTCGATCGTAGGATCGGGCCACTTCCTCACCGGTCTCCTCCAATGCTCCTCTAAGTCCGCAGCATTCTCCTCCACCACGCTATCGCCATCTTCATCATTCGACTTAATGTCGAGATGTCTCACCAACATCGGATCCCACTGATGATATTCGAAAGCTAACTCGATCAATTCTGAATCGTGGTACACATCGAGAGGAACCGACTCAGTGCTGGACGAACTTGCAATAGCCTTTCCTTTACCCTTCGATGCCATACGACCAAAAAGAAAATAAAAAAAAAAAATACAAATAACAGGAAGAAATCGGGCTTACCAAATAATTCAATAATTACTCAGGAAAACGGAATCACGCACAAGGAGTATTTATACTTCACGTTTCCGACCGTTAGGGTTCTCAATTGGGGGCGCGTGTAAACCGACGCGACCCCTAGTCTCAAACGACGCGACCCTTTCGCCTGACAAATCCTACTGTACACGTGGCGCCCTATTAAAGTGACTGTTACCTCACTTAATACCATTACCTCGTATGAACAAATGCACCAAAACAGACACCCCCATTTACGGCTACTTACCGACTCGGAGTTATCTTCCATTTTGTAGTATCGCCGACCATCACTTCGTATGCTCGCCGATGCTGGGGGCCTCTCTGTTATCATCTGACCCGGTAATTCGGGATTACTTATCCAAAGATCACGTGTTATGATAATCATAATTAGCAGCAGACCTTAACCCCTTTTACCCCGGGTTATATTGCAAAACCGGACTTCGACTAACACGAAGAAAAAGCGACTTACTCCATAATGACCGAGGTGGTTACACAAACCGAGGCCGCCACAAACCGAGGTCGCCACCCCCGAAGCTGGTGACAAGGCACCTACACGCCATTTTCACGAACCACGAGATTTTTCATCATTCAAGTGGGACCCACTGACAATACCGCCCACCAAAAGTAACTTCATGAAAAAGGCATCGTACAAATTCCGATATTTGTATATCAAAAAGTTACTATAAATAGTTATTTCATATACTTGTACAGGGGGTCCCTGAACCGTTTTTATATGAAACACGTAACATTGCACTGTAGCTTTTCACCTCGGCCCGGGGCCATTGTTTGAGTTTTGATTGCATGTTTTACGTTCAAATCACCCAAAATACTTAAGTAATCATATCCGTAATCGTTGTTAACAATCACATAACAACACACACACACACACACACATATATATATATACATATACACATATACATAATTGATATTAATTTAAATATTTGTAGACATGTTTTCTTTACAAAATAATCTTTTTTTTTTTGCCGGAACGATAGAGGAACTATTATAAATCAAAGCGCACAAATGTGCGAAACAAAAGATACAACGCTCCCAACGGGAGAATAAAAATGGGAGGACAGGTCAGAAGACCGCCTAGATTCCCGCTAGCAACGCTAGAATAAAACTCGAAATTGAAATGACCAACAAAACAAACTAAAACAACTAAAAAGACCCCAACAGGGTAATACCCGAGTGTCGGATCCCACCAGGATAATAAATTTGACACTCGGGCGCACAAAAGCCGAACGGCCCAAACCAAATTTACAAAATAATTTAAAAAATCTTTTTTACACAATGTTAAATTCAAATGTTTTTAGATATGTTTTCCTTCTAAAATTGTTTAGAAAAGTTATAAGTGACTTCATATCTTTCAAAAATAATATAGAAAATTTGAATACTTTTACATATACTAATATAATACTTTAGGTGTTTTTAATATTAAACATACAAATTTTATATTCTCTTATACAAAATAATGTAAACTTTATATTCTCTTATACAAAATAATTTTACATTGTTTGACTCTAAATGTTTAATTTATTATTATTAAGTATTGTTTATTTTACTCTTTAATTTATAATTATTTTTTTTCTTCCTCTTTTTAAATAGGATCAATAGTAGTTTCCACTTCCGCCATTGAGTGACTCAAACTCGAGGTCTCTTTATAATATTGTTAATTTAATATTATTCCCGTGCATCGCACGGGATACACACTAGTTTATTAATATGAGTACAAAAGTGGAGCCAATGCCAACCACATGAAGGTAGATAACAAATGAAGCAGGTAAAACGATTTATGATTGCGAATGGAAGGTTCACAATGAATATTGGTAAAATTAGCATAGTTTTTAAACCCGGCCCGAGAATCGACTCGGGCAAGTCTTCAGGTCACCGGGTCACTTGTTGAACCGGATTATTAATTTTAATTTTTGTAAAATTATATATAGAGTATTTTGTCATATAAATATACATAAAAATAACAAAATTAAATATTTTGTATATAATATTTATACACTAAAGTGTTAATAATATATATTTGATGATAAATACTTACCATATAAATATATATATATACATAGTTTTTTTTTTAAAAAAACAAAAAATATTTTAAAAAATCAAAAAATAATAAAAAATAAATATTGGAGCCGGGTCAACTGGGTTGATCCAGCTGGGTCGAGCGGGTCAAGGCCGGGTTGGCCGGGTTTTGACCGGGTCCTTCGTTGCCCAGTCCAATTAACCCACCGGGACCGGTTCTGGCTCTAGGTTTATCGGGTCCCGGGTTGACCCGCTGGGCCGATCCGGGTTTCAAAACTATGAAAATTAGCACTAGATTTTATGATAGTATAAGGTACCTGATTTTTTATTTTTTTGTTATTTTCCACCCACATTATGAATATAAAAAGATTTTTTTTTTTCATTTTCTTTGTAATATTAGTTGGTTGGGAGGTTCATGTTAATATCATTAAGAGTGATGTAGACATTTTCACAACTACCCACCGACCACCACGCACATCAATGGGTCTTACCCCACCAACCAATTCCACCTGACTCTCTCTCTCTCTCTCTCTCTCACACACACACACACACAATAGCCTCGTCCCTATCCGTCGAACTATCCACCGGCACCACTTCTGCCGCCGTACACGCCCACCACAAGATTGTGCGGCCTCGACTTAATCGAATACATGCTTTTCCAGAGGCCCGAGATCGTCGGTAAACCTAACACAAGCGGCCGCATGACCCTGCACTTGGCGGATAGTGGATCGGTGGGAGAGCTCTTGCTAGCATTGTGGCTGCATGGTTGACCGCGCGTTGCAACGCGACAAATTCAAATTTATATTTTTTCCTCGACTAACCTCTACTAACTAGTAGTAGCACGCACGACAAGTAAGGATCGATTCCACGAGGAGTGTGAATCAAATTGTAATATTTTTCGTATTAATTGAAATTATATAAATAATAAAAGAGAGGGAGGGGGTGTTCACTAGATAAAAATTTGACGTCAAGACATGACACATCTCCCGTATACTCGTCCTGGGGGTAGCCAAAGCTCCACCCTCGTTGGACCATTCTGGTGGTGGCCCATCTCTAAAAATGTGTTTTGGCCACCCACGCCTTCTCCATGTTGTCGTTTAGGCTTCTCTTCCAGCTCTCGTTGTTGTCGTCTTCTTCGGTATGTGCTCCTCATAAAAAATTGTAGAGAAATATCTTTCCCATAGGCGGTGCCAATTGATGAGCAATTCTTTCATGAACCGCTCCTCCTTTGATCTCGAACTAGTTTGATCTCTAAAAGTAACCTGCAAAACACACCAGGAATGTTCCCAACATACACCTCTCACAATCAAGTCAATTCTCAGAATATAAAAGACTATAAAGTGTAAGTACATTGTAAAGCTTAGAGAGTATAAGCCTTACCCCTTCATACCTAATACATATATACAACAAACTCTTGACTTGTTGCCTAAGCTCTGTCCAGTTTTACTACCCGGGTGACCCGACTACCCGAAGGTATGCCCAATCTTACTGTCCTGGTGCCCTAAGGTGTACCTGTTGCCCGTAAGGTCCGCCTGGGACCCTCCTTATCTCTTAAGATAATCTAGATCCTTCCTAAGTAACCCTTCATGTGTATACTATCAGTAGGTCCACCAATTTGTTATCCGCAGGTATTGTAAGTAGGTCTTTCGAGTATATGACCCATAAGTCCACCAAATATAACTGTCTAGAGGTCTATCATGTTAATTGTTCAGAGGTTCATTCAACACCTTGTTAGTAGGTCTACATGTGTAAACTGAACGTAGGTCCACGAACTTATTGTCTCTAGGCCCCTTAAGTGCGCTACCAGTAGGTCCACCGACTTAATGTCCATAGGTCTTTCGATATGAACTATCTTCAGGTCAGTCAAGCACCCTGTCAATAGGTCAACATCATGTCCAACCCATCTAGTTATCATTCTAGCTCTAGAGCTAACTTGGGCCAGCTTACCCGAGCTTACTAGGGCCAACTTACCCGAGCTCACTTGGGCTAGCTTACCTGAGCTAACTAGGGTTGACTTACCCAAGCTATTCAATATGTTATACCACAATCCATTTTCAATCTATTGTTATTGTGTATATTTGTGAATTTATCGTATTAGCCTTAGGTTATATGTAGCCCTAATTTACTGTATATATTCATGGCTTATACAGAGTTGTATCATCCGATTGAGATGATCATTTTCCCAGATTTGTTTTGTCTCTTTTGTACCATGGTATCACAACCATAATTTATTTCTGATCTCATTTTTTTTTTTTTTCGCCTCCCCGATAGACTGCGGCAATTCCTAAACAATTTTTTTTTTCTTCTCTTTGTCAGGATAGACGGCTGCTAAAAAAAAAAAAATTATTGGATCTAGAACTCTCTACAATTGCGTATATTTGGTGGAATGGGGCCCTCTATTTGATTGTCTCTGATGCAAGCATCTTAAGGTTGGGAAAATTAATATTGCACATATCACTTGGGAGGCTACCCGACATCTGGTCGATTTAAAGAAAAAATCCCGTCTTATCTGATTGTTTCATTCGCTGCGGCCCCCTTTCAGGCAGCTTCTTCATGGCTGCTTCTTCGTCGTCTGATTCCGGCACCAGTGGTGGCCGCGGTTGTAATTCTGGTGTTAGTTGCTGTGGTGGAGCACGCGCCGAGAGTGGTGTCCAAGCTCGTGCGAATGCTGCGTTATCCAGGGGTATTGGTTATTCCTTTGTTGCCGGCTATCTTGGTTTTTCTATTACTAGTGCAGTTTTAAGTGATTCTGATCATTTTGCACTTGGTAGTTTAGCAATGAACAATGGGCTCATTTTGTGTCTTTGGTTAATTCCGCTAAACAAAATATTCCATTGTCTGGTATGAGTGGTTGATTTGATTAGATGTATGAC